TAGGTTTTCACACTTTGGCTCTGCGCCAATGAGATTTCGAGAGTGGCCATGCGGACCAATCATAGGTTTTCACAGTTTGGCTATGCGCCAATCACATTTCGAGAGTGGCCATTTGGACCAATCGTAGGTTTTCACAGTATGGCTCTACGCCAATGAGATTTCGAGAGTAGTCATTTGGACCACTCAGACGTTTTCAGATTGGTGTGGGTATAAGGGTGTGAGTGTAGATGTGGGGCGTGTGTGCAAGTGTCGGTGTGAATAAAAAAAACCTACATTCACTCACACCCACTTCCTCTTCTTGTTTTTTTTGTCACATACGAGTATTTATTTGTAGCATTATTTTTTTCGCAAGTCCTGGATTATACAACGACCTATCATAGATTTTAAATGATGATATCCTTCCAGTAGAGGGTGCGCGACGCGAGCGTCGCGTTACTTGTATAATAGCCCTTGAGGATCTATGGATATCCCAATATAGTAGCCCTTATAGCCTTTCCCGTATAGCCTTGTTAGACCTTCAACCTTTGACCCTTGACCCGGCACAGACAGACACACACTGAACAATGTATACATATATTTTAAATGCCTAAGTACTTCAAAGTGTTGAAAGTACTTGAACTAGTTCAAAGTAGCTTAAAGTAGCTTAAAGTAGCTTAAAGTAGCTTAAAATACCTGGAAGTTCGTGTGAAGTAGCTCAAAATTCGCTTAAAGTACTTTAAATTACCTCGAAGTACTTTAAAGTAGCGTAAAGTACTTGAAGTACAAAAGTCTGCTGTTTCCCCCTTGCATCAGATACATATTAAATTAAAGCTGAAGAACTTATTGCAGGGAATAAATATGAATTTCAAATATTTACTTGTAATCGAGTTGATCAATCAGAACCAAAAGCTTCATCAAGAATTATTGTTGCTAAAAATTCGTTTGGTATGTCATATGATTTTTCAAACGAAACCAGATGCATCTATTCATTTAATTACAAGTAACGCAGCGCGAACGCTGCTAACCCTCTACTGAAAGTGGGGATGCACCAGTCCCAGTCAGACTGGGTATCCAGTTCTGACTGGTAACCAGTCGGATCAGTTCCAGTCGGACTTGTATCCAGTCCCACTAGATACAAGCCGAACTGGGTATCAGTCGGACTAGGAACCCAACTCAAATGGTACCCAGTTCACCAGTCGGACTGGAACTGGTGCGCCCCTAACTGAAAGGATGAGTTGCACGGAAGATAGGATATTAGAAGTACTAGATATGGAAAATGATTCGTTGGCAGCACATTAAGGAGTGGAATGAAACGAACCATTATTATTCAAGAGTTGAAGATGTAGATTCCCATATTCGGTAATCCCTACGGAAATTGCATGTTCTGAGCATGTTATAAACATGCTTTATATCCACATGATATCATCAACATTCTCCGTACTCGTTTTGCCCAGTTAAATATTCTTATAGCATTATCTATAGTCTGATCAAAGCGTTAGTATCGCGTCCCCGAGTTTCAAAATGTCTGAAATTTGAAACCAAGCGATTGAAAGTGACAAAAAGTCCTGTGTTAATGCCTGAAAATGACAATATGCCTGTAATAAGATGAGTGTCAAGATTTCTAGCTCCATCAAAGCCATTTTTGTTACTTTTATTTCATGAAAAAGCTTGTTAGCGCAGCTCCTTTGAGGCTGAAATATAGAACTCATATATACTATCTAGCCTAATTAAACTAATACATAACACATAAAGTGATAAATCTCTCGTAGGTTATAGGTGTTTGCAGGATAATTGATATTCAGAGTAATGACTTCTCTAATTTCTGCATTTAGAAAAGAATTTTCATTTTTTAAAATTCTTTTTTTCTTAATTTAACATTCTTATTATTATAATCATTGAATTAATTGACAAATATGTCTGTTTTACGTATTCATCATTGTGACGATTTTAGATAGAAGAAGAGTTAGCGCTGATGGAACTACGCTTTATTATATTTCTTCTTATCAAGAATCGCCTCGCTTCCATACAAAACATATGCTTATATACTTATCCATCAGAGAGAAGGAAAGAATGATAAGGACAGAAAATAACATAAGACCATATATGGGAAGAAAGAGATATAAGGACAAAGTATAAGGACGAAAATATCAAAACAATACGGTCATTATGTCACACAGTGTACTCAAGCGGGAGCGTTACAATCATATCTACAGCAGGTCTCAAGCACTATTATTTATGTTAATCAACTCACAAGTAGTAATATTTATTATTTTTCAAAATTATAACTTGATCAATTTTGCAACGAAATCTAAAAAATGTGACGCCTGTTGTTGTTCATTGCTACGGTCTGTAATGGAGAGGGGTATAGCAGGAGTGGAAGCCACAAAAACTCGCTCTTAAACTTACACTCACCATTTTCTTCGACAAATATGTGAGTTCCAAAAAACTGACTCAGTAGTCAATATATTCACTACAGTAATGTAGTTTTTCTCTCTCGAGCCATTTAAAGTAAACAAATATATCATTTACTTTTTATTTTTTATCTCTCTTATGTTCTTTCTTGAACGAAGCAGCATCGATATGGCTCTTCTCTTAACTCTTCCTTACACTCACATTCCACCCAATAAATCTAGATCAGCAACAAAAACCTGTTAGCGTCAATGATGATACACTGCGATGTTAAACCAAGATTAAGATACACTTTCTGATTTAATTGGCTTAGAATATTTGCTCGGATAGCAGAGGATGTGGGCTCGAGTCCCACGAAGGTCATCTTTTTCTTCATTCTGTTCGTTCACTGCATTTTCAATTGTATGAATCATATATGATGCTTATAACGCCGTGTCGTTATTCGACTGGGTACAGCAGAGTAATGATATGAGCGATTCTGTTCCACTACGAACTGAATAACCTATGAAGGTAAAAAATTTATGAGTCGAAAATTTCCGCTTTCGTAATTCCATACCCTGACTATATATGATCCGGATTCGATTGAAACTGACTGTGCTATTGTAGAGCTAAAACAATTTTATTGTGAGTATCGATGTACGATAAAGTCTCTGAATCACACAGTGTTAGTTATGATTCGCTGAAGGGTATACAAATGAACTCCACAAATGCTCGAAAACATTGATCGATAGTTATCAATGCCTGTCTAAAATTCTCAGGGATACATCTCTTACTATAGACAAATGAAGGTATAGAGAATATGAAGATATTGTAATAGATATAGATATCTGAATATGCAGCATATTGGCTTCATATTTCTGATAAATTACTAGCATTGATTCGAGTACTGTTACTCTGAAATAGAATAATAAAAACAAAAATTCCCGTTACAAGTATATCATGGACAGCCAGATTGAAACTTAAACATAGAGTATATTTCAATTTGAACGTAATTTTTCGTTCTTTTAAATATTTAAAAACCATGTTAAAATAAAGTTTGGCTTCTATAGAAGAATCAACTGATATTCGTCTATCTATTCAAAAACTATGAGGAGTTTTTGACAACTTTGTAGATTCGGATGAGTGGTTGAAAAAGAGATATCAAGTCTCGTGCTCATTGGATGTGGCTGTGGCTATGAGGATCTGGGTGCTGGTGTATGTTGAGTCAAGACTAGCATCCATACCCATGGTTGTGCTTTTGAAGGTCTGAGTGTGACTGTGGGATCAGTGCCGAGTTGCGATTACGAGTGTTCCCTTCACTGTCATCAACATTGAAGCCGTCACTCCTACGCCTACATACATCCAGATGCTCCTGATACACAGATTCTTGATTTCCTCTTTTCCGATTGATTCCTTACCTGTTGTTGCGCTTTAGACTTGAGTACGTATAGCCGTTGAATTGAAATGTTATAAAAGTGAAAAATCGCCGAAAATGCAGCAGAAGTCGTCTCCTTATATAGATTACTTTATCACTGAAGAGGCGAGCGTGAAGAAAACAACGATAAAATTTATCACTGATGAAAGAGATATGGCAATAAAATATTATTATCTTATCTTTATAGTTAGGCTTTTTTTGCAGATGTTTTTGCAGTTAAAGGAAAGGTATGTTTAATCAGCAAAGTTTAAAACACGCTGAGAAAAAAAGCAAAAACAGTAGATCCTCTGGAAATTCGACGATTGACTTCAAGAGTTACCTGGTTTTTTTTCTGGGTGTCGGCGCGAGTGTATAGCGTGTGGCGAATGTGAATTTGGCTGTATGGGGTGTGGTGGGTGTGAATTTGACTGTGACTACGGGGTGTAGAGTGGTTGTGAATATAGAGTGTGAGTGTGGATGTAGGAGTATGAGTAGATCAGTTGTTTAGGCATACCTAGATCGACTAATATTCATACCCCACCCTCACCCCTTTCTCTACACTCACACTCGTTTGTAGTATAGATAATTTATCGGTATTGTACTTTTTTCTAAATTCTTTTTATTGCATTAACTCATTGCAATTACAAACCTGGTAATTATTGAAAACTTTATTTCGCTTACGAGTTTCAACCTTACACATGTTCACATGGTTAGTGCTCACAATTTTACGCATTATTGTCTTTTTGGTGAAATGCACAAGTTCCAGTTCTAACTAGGAACTGGGAATAGTCTACCACTTTAAAACTGGAACTGGTGCATTCCTAAATGAAACACTTTTTATGTGTAAATTTTGATGATATTTAATTAGTCTACTACTGAAAGAGTCAATCACTATCTGAGTTTTGTGATCATCTGAGTGTGGGTGTAGTACGAACGAACTGAAAATCCAGAGCTTACATGAACTCGTACCTCACTTCCACTCATACCTATAATTACATTCGATTGACACCTGCGCCTGAACTCCTTGTGATCTCTGTTAGCAACCATCTAGGTTGACTATCTTCTGACGTTGCTAACAACTAAGTTAGTCACCAACTCACATCTTCACTGATTCAGTTGGTTACCAAGCTCGTTAGTTACTAACTCCCTGATAATTAGTTGCTTTGGCAATACATTAGTTAATTTATAGTAACACATGACACAGAATGAATTATATTTGATCCCATAGTTTTCGATTATGATTTCATTCGAAGAAATCGGCATTAGCGAATGTTGTCATCAGCGAAAAATTCTTGCAGCGAAGTTGAAGCCAGAGAAAATACGACGCACTTTAAAATAGACGCTTCACAAATTTTCTAAGCTTCAAGACCCGAACTCGTGAAAGTCTTCTACTCGAACATCGTCTCATAAATACGCTCCCATTATTATGCCAGATAAATTAATAAAAAAGTTATACAGTTATATTTCATAATAAAATATAATGTCTATACTTTATATTGACCAAAGATATTAGGATTGCAGAAGAAAGATCAACAACATTTATCTCAGCCATACGTTGTTAGTACTACTTATTCTACGGCATTATGCGGAATTATTGGATTCGTACGATGTTTGGCAATTCAAAGCGTTCTAAAATGATAATATTGCAAAAAGTATTCTTAATTATTCAATGCATATCAACATACGTCTAATATGTCATCGACATTATTTTGTCTAGTTAGAGTTGCAATTCAAATGAGTTCTCCAAGATTAACACAGACGTTGAAGCTATGCAGTAAGGATGGGTGTGGACGAAAACCAGACTCACACCCACACCCACCCACGCATTCACACTCACACCCAAGACTGAGATGAAAGTGAAGTAGGACTAGAATCAGGATAGATTCAAGACAAGATTAGGAGAAAGATAGAGATGTAACCAACATTTAAATCTTTCTTTGGCAGAAATCGGGACCGGAAAAGATTGATTCTACGCACATACCGATTCAAAATGTTCATTCAAAGGATTTTTCATAGTGGTAATACCAAAATGCCAAAACACAAAATATATGGCCAGGAAGTGAAATCCGAGCACACTTTACGCCATCCGAAGTCGATATCTTATAGAAGGTCATAAGAACATCGTTTTCCAATATATTAGGCATAAAATATGAAATTTTTGTGACCAACATCGGATACCTACGCTAGTAGATCATAAGATTGGATGCATATGAAGTCCACAATGATCATGAAAGAATTTTATACGTTTTGAATGTGACGTCTCTGTCATTACTATGTATAAAATAGAGCTATTTCATCAAAAGAATAAATGAAACAAAGTATTGATTAATTTTCAGACAAATAAAATATAATTATTTCATTCGATTCTCAAAGTATATAACAAATTTCTCAGAAAATTAGTTAAAAAAAGGCTTTTAATAAATTGTGTCGAAAGAATTCAACTTGGTATAAATAATAACAGGAACTATTCTGAACATTTTATCAAATAATATTAAAAATATCCTTTTTATATCGTTATTTAATGTTTTCCGAACTTTTGGATACCATTAAGCATTTAAATTAATTTTTTTTAGGTTTTTCATCTTGTCTGGAATGTATTCTTTATTTGAATTTTTTAATTATATTTTAGCTGCACTGTTTCATATGTTTTTCTATTTTTTTGACATAGTTTTCTCGTTTGAGTTTATTAATTATCGTCTAGATAAACTTCATCTTGAGTGTTGCTGCTGTTCTTTCTTTATAGTTTTTAATTGAATAAAACAACTATAATTTATTTTCTCCTTTTTTACTATCTGAACTAATGATACAATACCGACTGAAATACCTTCTTATTTTACTTTTTAATAAATATCTAATGTTTCGTTCATAATTTATATTCATTCTTGGATTAGGATGTTGTTCTTTTTTAGATAGTTCTTTTTTGTATTTCTAGTATTTATACTCGAAAAAAACGTTGCACGTTTGGAGATTTGTTAGAAGAGAAAAGGAGAATGGGATATGACATGTGAGTAATGCGTGTTTGTGACGTGAGCAAATGCATAGGTAATGAAATAGAAAACACTGTCAGATTGTTAGATATGTTATTATATAAAGTTAAGATGTTCATCTCCTGTAGTGTTTTATTTCATTTATCATATGTAGATTGTGATTATAAACATTAGTTCCATTTGAAATATGTCATTCATCGATATTAGACTTAATCAAATAAATAAAGCAATACTACCAATTATTATTGTTATATCATTGATAAGTTTTGTATTTGGTGCAATTGGTCTCATATTAAATTTGTTTGTTTTTACTCGTGCATCTCTTCGTCGTGAACCATGTTCACTCTATTTTTTCTCATCAACATTGTTTAATCTATTTGTTATACTCGTGGTTATACCTGTTCGTATTGTCTCGGAAGGATATAGTATAGATATAGGTAATTACAATCTTACAATTTGTGAAATAGAATTCTTTGCTTTTTATGTTGCACGTACAATACCTTGTTGGTTAATTGTCTTAGCTTGTGTTGATCGATATGTAAATAGTTCGATAAAAGCACGTATTCGTCAAATAAGCTCGTATAAAACAGCAAGATTAGCTATTGGAATTACTATCATTACAATTATTATTTTGCACATTCATATGCCTGTGTATTATGAAATAAGTTATATGTCTGATCAATTTGGTAATATTACACCGGCATGCTTTGGACAAAAGGGTATTTATCGTACTTTTATTGCATTTTGGGCTATGGTTTCATATTCACTTTGTCCATCTTTCTTAATGTTATTCTTTGGTTTTCTTACACTTAAAAATCTTCATCAACATCGTCAGGTACTTCCAAGAACTACTCAAATAAATCAAACTACTCGACGGGTAAATATTCAACTTAGTCGCATGTTAGCTGCTCAAGTACTCGTAATTGTCATTGCCACTTTACCATTTTCTATATATCGATTGTATGCATCATTCACTGTAAGCCTGCCTAAGAGCACACTTCGAATTGCTGAAGAAAATTTGGCTTTTAAAATTGCAAATGTATTCACATATTTTGCTCATTCAACTAGCTCTTATTTGTATACATTAACGGGTACAGTTTTTCGAAAAGAACTTTTCAAAATCATTCGACTACTTTGGTATCCAAATCAAACTATGGTTACAACGACTGGACTTAAAATGCAGCAAATGTCGATTTTACCTAGTAATCGACAAATCACTGTTGCTAACAATAATGGCACATAGGACTGACGCTCCGTTTCAAAAACAAATTTAATTTTAAATGTATCTTTTTGTCGTCTGTCTTTAAACATGTCTTATTTAGATTTAAATAAAATATTATTTATTCATATCCAATCATAATTAAATAGTTTTTGAAACGAAAATTTTATTGAATAGAATGTAATTATCTATGAACATGAATATATTTTAACAACATTTTGATGAATTATTATTAATTAAGAAGATGAAATTCTCAGTTGAAAGTAAACTCTAGTTTTTTTTTAGATTTCCTTATGATGAAGTCATTTTAATCGAACTTTGATAAAACATTCAATGTTGTTTTGGAATCTGTGCTTGCCTTTTCTCATCATGGTTTTTTTACGCATCATTCTTATACTCTTTTAATGAATTTCATATAAGATTTACTCATGTTTCTGACACTCGATCTGAAAGGAGTCTAAACAAGAAATAAATATCCAGAATATTTGAAAATTTTGTTTGCATATTGATGTATGTTAGGTGTTCTATCGTATGCAATAATACTAATTTGATAAGCTCTAGTATTTCATGTTAAATTTCTAAAGATTTTGTTTATTCTTCTCAATAATAGTTTTCAGACTACTTAATAAAACATTGGTTAATTTAGCATACAGTTTTATCTAGAAACTGTTCTGAAGCTTCTATTCTATATTTCAAGTACAATTTGATAAAGTCTATCTGATGGTATAGTTAGATTTCGCATAGGCTAAATTATGACTCAAAACATTTTTAATTATGAGAATATGATGCCACATGCGTTAATCCCATGTTAGTACAAAGGTATCACGGATTAGTATCCTGCGCATTGAAGTGGGTATTATATTCACAAATTATTTTTCAGTCGTCAAAACTAAGACATACGATAAAATAGAAATTTAGCGCTCACTGGTTTTAAAAACAATAAAACTGCGAACCGAACCGAATCCATAATTTCAGTTTTTCTAAACTGGAAACAATGCAGAGCGGATCCATGGAGACCCATCCACTTTTTGAAAACAGTTTTTTTCTTAGATTTTTTTTCCCTCCAAACTGCCGGTAGGCTCTAGAAAACATTTTTGGTGAAAAAAAACTAGACCCTTCCTGTTGAAAATCTCGAGTTCTAGGTCATTTTCTAGGAACATTCTATGGTACATTGTCAGAGGTAAGAAAAACATTAGAAAAAAACCTAGAATTGCTTCAAAAATGACTTTTCCAGTTTTTTCTTCTGCCGCAAAGCGCAGAAAGTGTCCAGAAAATATTTCTGATGAAAAAAACCAGACCCTTCTTATTGAGAATCTTGAGTTCTGGGTCATTTTCTTTGAGTACCACAGTGATTGTAGTTCGCGGGTGTGGGTGTGGATTTAGGTATGCATCAGAACACACTTCAACATCCACGCCAACACCAACGCCAACACCTACACCCACACCCACACCCTCACCTACACCCACACCCTTATGTTGAAAGTTTCTAGAACTATTACATAACAATATATTTTTGATCAATTTGATTTAAACTAACATGTTGACTCGCAAAAAAAATATGCATATTAATCATTTATCATATTATAATGTCGGTTTTTTTCAATATTTTATATCATTTTATTTGAAATATTTGATTGACATAACATCAGTAATAAAAAACATAATATTACATGTATACAATAATGATTTTTCTTTCAAATTCACCTTGGTAAAAAAGCAATTAAGTATGATGGCAAAATTATTCATGTCTAAAATAGGGAATAGGTAGTGGCAATAATTATGCATAACATGATGAATAAACTCAAAAATAAATATTATTCATTATTTACTAGTATATAAAAAATCTAGAAAAAGCTTGCCAGCGTAGCCCCTTTGGTGCTGAAATGTGGAACTCACATATCTTTTCCAGCCTAATCATACTAATACAAAATACGTAAAGTGAATAATATCTAACAAATGATAGTTATTGCTAGCAAGAATAATCGATTATTACAAATACTATTTATCTTATTTATTTCTGTATTCTGAACAGAATTCTTTTGCTTTATTTTCTTTTGAAGACGCTCTATTTTTGTTGCATTATTATTATTTGCTCGTTATTTATTTTATTTTGATTTTGTTGTTTTTAATCTATTATTTTTTATACTTCCAACCTTCGATTTAACTGGCAAAAAATGCAACTAACATACAGTCTGTTATCTGTTAAATTTATAAGGAACCACTGGACGCAGTCTAATAAACATAGCAACTAACTTCTACATCGCGCTAGCTGGTAGCTAAAGGCAACTGTTTGTAATGGAGCCCTAAGACTTACACTCACTATTTTCCTTCGTCAAATATGTTAGTTCTACAAAATTATTCTAAAATATATTTCTTATTAATAAAAAAAGTAAACATTAAAAAAATTTAGTTTCATAGAACATTGCATAAACTAATAAGTAAGTATTGTCTTATGTGTTATTATTAAGTCTCAAGCAATTGCACAAAATTTTTACCGATACGACAAGAATATTGAGCAGAATAAACTAGTTGGTGATATTCTCTCTCTTTCTTACAAAAACGTATACTGACGCCAAACATAAATATTCATGAACAATAACAGTTAACATAGAAGAAGAAAAGATTTTCAACAGTATCCCTGTGAAATTATAATTGAACGAGGTCAGTTAATAGATTCAAAAAACATTTCCTTGCAATATTTTCTGCAATCATCTTCACGTATTTTTCGATATTTTTTAAAAGTATATGCAAATTAAAGATTAAACGAAGATTTGTTTCTCTTTTCAACTTATATTGAATTGTTACATAGAGAATGTCGAGTTACATAAGAAAACGTTGATCTTAAGTTTTTGACACGTTCTTTCAAAGATAATTTTGTTTTATCGTTTTCTACGAAATAAAAAGTTATTCATCTCAAATCCAATTTCTTCATAAGACAAATTTTGAAAAAGACCAAGAAAAACAGTTAAGATATGGGATCAATAAGGTTGTTAGAAAAGAAGAGTAGAAATATGAATGATAATAAACATCATCAACAATTCAAACCTACAAATATTCTACTAATATGCATTGATACTGTATCATTCAAATAAATTTATCATCAATTTTCGTTACACGATATAAATATTTGAGCAGTCTTCCAGTGTAGCCGCCATGGTTGAGTGGTTACGTTGTTCGACACGTACCTACAAGGTACTGTGTTCAAATCTCAGTATCATCATCCATGGAATGACCTTGGATAAGTCACCAACGGCTAAGTTGTCTAAAATGACTCATTTCACATGAGTCATTCGTGCTGACTATATCGTAAGTCAGTATGTGGGTGGGTGTAGGGGTATATGAAGAAAATCATACTAACACGCACACACCCACACCCAACGTGTTGGTTTGGAAATTTTAATTAAACATGATTTTCAATGAGCGATGTTGTATATATAATGAGAAGAGTGAATAACTTTCAGTCTATCATCTATGTCAAAATCTTTTTCTGATTATATTCCACCCTCAAGTACGGTAGACTGTTGTTAATGACACCATATCTTACCAAAACCTTTGGGATTTGGGTCAATAATGATCAAATCCAAATCTGAATTGAAACATAGCATATAAGTCCAAATCCACATCCCAAAGTTTTGATACAAAATTCAAATCTATCTCAAGATTTGTTGCATTCATAATACATGCTTCCACCTTTACTCGGATTTAATTATTCCTTTTAATGTGAATGAACGCAAGAGATACTAACAAAATATTATACCTATAATTTATTCTAATCCACTGTTCGTATATCCTATATTATTATCTTAAAGTTTTAGATATTTCTATCCATAGCTGCTTATTACGATTGTATAATATTATTTCACAATTGATATATAACAAATTAAGACTCATTATTAGATTGTTTCAAAGATGACTGAAACAAATACTTGTTTGGGATGCAACAGTGAAGGCATACACACATGTGCTGGCTGTCAAGGTCACTTTTGTACGCGGGATTTAACAATCCATCGAATGACTTTGGTTGAAAAACTCGATGCTGTTCGACAAGACCGAAATAGACTTCATCAACAAGTGATACAAGCAAATCAATCAAATGTCATTCATCAATCTCTTTTGTCTGAAATTAAAAAATGGTATGATACTACAGTTGAGAAAGTTCGCCAGGCAGCATTGAAAGTACGTGATGAAATGAATCAATTATTACGACAAAATATGGAGAACATCAAGAATGAACTTATAGAGATGGCCAAGCAATTTCCCCCGAACATAAATGCTGATACAATTTTGGAAGGTAACATTGAACAATTAAGAGAAAAAGTAAACCAACTTCGATCCAATTTCGAAAAAGCAACTAATTTATCATCTATTATGATCAATGTAGAACAAACCAATCATATAGATTGGAATCATGTAATTTATGTCGAAGACAAATCCAATCAAAATAAGGTACAACTGATAGAGAGTACAACAATTAGTGGCTAGATGTTCCCATTATTCTTGATTAAAAATCCAACACTATCTAATCCATTTTCTCATTTTATTCAATCATGTAAGACTATTGCAATGACTTGCAAAAATGGATATTGATTAAACCCAATAGAGATAATAAAGAAATATTAAGTACTAAAATAAAATGTATTTTTTTTAAGTATATAAAATTGTTGGTTTAGAATTTATTAGCATTTGATTCATGATTATGAGTCACTTTAACTTTATTCAGATGATGAAAAAGTGTCGACGTATAGAAATCAAAACTTGGAGATCAATCTACTCCATAGTCCGTAACACACATACCGAGAAAATCGAGCACTAGTTTAAAAAAAATAAAAGAAATTTCTGGTAGCTGAACTCCTGAAAAAAGGTTTCGGACAAGAAAAAATGTTTCAACAAGGATTTCAGAACTAGGTTTTTAGGAGTTCAGCTATTGCATAAAATACACAATCTTTTAAAGACCTAAAAGGTTCTGTACTTTTGCATGATTATTATAAAACACAACTGAATGTATTATAACTATATGTGGTCATTTTTCTAAACGCATTCTAACATATAATAATCAATATTTTCTACGACGGACACATATGAATAATATAAAACATGTGATGTGAAATCCTCTAATTTGTAACATATTCATACTCATCATGTGCCATATGTTAATCTTAAGAACACATCATCTAATAGTTTTGTTCATTTTAATAATAATATGTGATTTCTTTTATGAAGGTTCGCTTTCCATGTTTGTCAGCCAATATAAATTGTCCGTGGAAAGGACAAAAAGATCAATTAGAACATCATCTGGCTATATGCGCATTTCAACCTTTGCGATTGGAAATCGATGAACTCAAAGCTATAAATGCACAACTAATTGAAGAAAATAATGAATGCAAAGATAGAATTGGTCGAAGAGACGCTAAAATTGAAAAATTGAAAGATAAACGAAAAAAAGACAAAGATTATATCAAAACACTTCAAGATCAAATTGAAGCACGATTTAGTGAAATTAGAACACTTCAATATCAAGTTCAAACACAAGGAAGACAAATTACAAAACAGAGAACTGAAATCGAACAAAAAGAAAATCAAATTAGAACGCAAAGAACTGAAATCGAACAGAAAGAGAATCAAATTGAAGAACAACAACATACAATTCAACTGCAGCCAATACGAAATTCAAACCCTAAATCTAACAGCGCAAATCAAGCAGCAGGTAACCAACTTATTTTCTGTTATGGTCAAGTTATCAAAGAACACAGAAAAGTTAATTCTCTTTGTATAACGTGATTCTAATGTGATGTTAAAGTTTAAGAACAAATATTTGACCTTTTCTTTGTACAGAGACTATCTCAGATATTATTGATATACATTCACACATAGTATATCATGAGCTGCTCTTTCTAATATATAAATAGATTCCTTAGTGCAATTCTGGATTATGAAATAAAAATGTAATGCAAAGATCTATTTCAAAATAGGTGGAATAAAACAAACGTTCTGTGATTAGAAAATACAATTGCATCATGTTTTATATTTTCATTTCACAGGTGCGTGGATAGCTTCCTAGTGAAAATAGTTTTTAAACAATTCCTGCAAAATTCAAAATACGAAACTAGACGATATAGTCTGGAAGAGCTCAAGTTTTTGACGTTGAAGCTCTAATTCGATTTCGAGAAACTCATAAAATTCATTTCGACTAGCATATACACATTAGTTTGTTGCCACTGTTAACGAAAATATGTCTTTCGTGTCTGATTTTTCTGGAACTTATTCACGCATTGATAAAATACTACATATTTTTTTATTAGTTAGCGTATGAAGAAAAGAGTAATAAATAATGAACTTCACAGTAATTTGACCATGTCTTCTTTGATATTCGTTTACTTAAAATCTAGGTTTCCCAAAACCTTGACACTTTAATTGCTTACAAAATACTATAACTTGAATCAACATAAATAATATCCTTTATTCATCAAGATTTTGCTGTGATGTAGGATACCACTAAAAGATAATAAGAAATTTCAGAGAAATGATAAGATTTTTCAGAAGTCTAATAGTGCAATATGATAGATTTCAGAGACCATTGGTTTTTTTGTATGATTTCCTTTGATGTTACACTCAGCAGAAAAGTATAAATCTGTATTGTTAGTGCTCTTTTCATTAATATTAACATTCACATCCACCTCTTATTGTAATACATTTACTGAATCGAAAGTAAATACAATTCAAATGTTGATTTAAAGTTTTTAATTGACGTATGGTTCAGATTAGATGTCTTCAAAGAATATTCCTGAAAACCCGATTAAGTACCAGGGAAGGAGATACAAAGATATATAGGTATAGGAGACGTAGAAGTTGTAGGGGTTATAAGAGGTATAGAAGGTATTGGAAGTATAAGAGATATAACTTGAAGATTAAATTTTAAGCCCTAATGTATGATAAGTATATCCCACGAGCAAGGGTCTTGAAAAAGTATATATATCTCTTGTATCTACTATATCTTTATACTTTCTATAGCTCTTATCCTAAGACATAATCGAGTTTCTGGGGGCATCTTTCCGAAGACATTATACGAAGGTTCATCGATAAAGATTATTTTTTCAGTTTTCTGATTAATCGAAAAAAAATAAACTATAGATGTCAATTAAACATTTCAATTCGTTTACTTTGGGGCTGCTAAATAAAGCAAGTATAATATACATTTACTATTTGCTAGTAAATCATAAATAAAGATTTAATCTATTTTCTCAAGACAAAAAAGGTAATGTATCACTTCTATATTATGTGGGTCAGTTGTAGTCATAATTCTTACTTGTTTAGTCTAAAAGTTGAGTGAATCGAAATCCGATGGACACCACTTATTATCAGTTCTAGACTTTTCATTCAATAGAATAGTTAATTATTTCCACATAAATTCAATGCGGGTTAAATCCGAAAAGCTTCCGGAACATTTTCTTACAATAACGAGTGCTCGAAAAGTTTTTGGACAAAACGTTTGACTTTTGAGCCATTAGAAAGTATTTACGACGAGTCAAAATATATCTGTTAAGATCAGAATTTTATGCTCTTTCAGAATATGGTCTTAGAAAATTTATCTCAGGTTTCGTTCAGGTGTAGTGAAATAATCTTTGAACAGGTCAAAAAAATAGTTTGGGCAAAATTTCTCCGCACATTTTGTATTTTCACTAACGATTTCGGTTTGAAACTAAAACTTCAGATCTTTATTTAAACACGAGCTTGTAAAGCAGAAGTTGCCCTACAAAATCCACTCTTTCAATATTTGTTTATCTTTCAACAAGACATGCCACTACTCTTTTTTTCTAGACGTTCATTTTTGAAAAAATCGACTTTTTCACCAAAACAGTTTTACGGTGAAAGAAGCTCTTGATAAAATGGTTGCAGCTTCAGTTGCGTAAAAGCCATAACTTATTCTAACATCAAATGTTGTAGAGATGTATCTACTCTACAAAATTAACGATCCCGACAATTTTTAGCATACTCGAAAACGAATTTATAGGATAAACAAAAAACTGTTGACTCACTATTAACAGTAACTTGCTGAACCTTTAAAAAGGTCCTTCAATACTCTTGAACGAAAATAGACATAACATTTCTAAATCCATATACAAAAAGGGCACAAAATTCTGATCCAGACCCATAATTTTTCTATCGGCTAAAATACTTTAAAATAGGCCAAAATTCACAAATATGTTCCTTGGATACTTCAATTTGCAAGTTCCGTCCAGACTAATTTTTTAACCTCTTCAAAGATTATTTCACTATTCCTGAACGAAATCTGAGGCAAATTGTCTAAGACCTTATTTTGAAAGAGAACAAAATTCTGGTCTTAACAGATATATTTCGACTTGTCGTAAATACTTCCCAATGGCTCAAAAATCAACAAACGTTTTGTCCAAAAACTTTTCGAGCACCCGTTATTATATATGTTTTAGATATGGATTATGTAAAAGATTCGTATGATGTTTACTATATGGGTAAAAAGCTCTC